ATCCAAGTCCAGGCGTCCACCCCACTGCAACCACTAAACCACATCACCCAGTGCCGGATCGAGAAGCCTCTTAAGCACGCCTTAGGTTTAGTGGTTTAGAGATTTAATATTTGAATATTCTGTGAGCGTCAGGAGCCATCATGGTTCCCTGGGGCTGGTGCTGAGGGGAGCCCACACAGGCAAGGGTTCATTTTTGTCCCCACAGCAACTGCAAATGTCATCCCWTCACTGCAAGAGGGTTGGAACTGGGTGGTCYTTAAGGTYCCTTCCAACCTWAGACCAATGTGTTATTGATGATGATGAATTGCTTTCTAATAGAGAGCTCTTGAGAGATGCTGCTCTAGTTGGTTATCAGTAAATTAGGGAATAATMTCATTTTGCCTCTGGTTTTACACTGAGAAGAGTGAGGATAAAGCAGCATCCATGACCATATTAAAGTGTAGGCTCTTTGGGTCTGGTGCAGGCAACTCCCTTTGCAATCATAACAGAAAGTTTGCCTGCCAGTGGGCCAAAAAAAAAAAGATCCCGTAAATGTGATGAATGCAGAAAAAATAGCACTATGATCAGGTAGTATTTCAAGAGAACAAAAATGGAACCTTTTATATATTCTGAGCAGGGCTCCATGTTAGCTTGAATATTCAGACCACAGCCTTGCCCTGTTCTTTGTTTCTTTTTTTGTTATGTCAGCTATATATGTGTGCAGAGAATTCTTTGTTGTTTCCTCTCAGTGTTAATAGAATGTCAATAATTAGTAGTATTTTTTAAAACAAAAGGGCAGCTAAAGGGGAAAAAAACTACACATTCAATGCCAAATTTCCCAGGTTTATGTTTAAAATATATGGTAATAACACCGTGCAACTTAGCAATCTCCAAGTCCTTTATACACATGCTGAAATTAAATTTCACCATTCCGCTGAGAGGCATTCAGATGTTATCCTCATTTTGCAGATGAGAAGACTGAGTCAGTGAAATCAAAGTTTCTGGTTATGTCATGGACAAAGCAGCACAGCGAAGAAGCCCGGCCCACATTTCTTGATTCCTTGTTCTGTATTCATGTCTTTTTTCATCTTCCTTTAATCAGCATTATCAGAAAATATCACCAAAATGGTTTGTATACATTCTCAACAGCATAAAGTACTATAGGTGTGGTATGARAAAAAGGCCAAACTGCCTGATAAAATGTAATTTTTAGATTTTGCAAGCCCCAAAAGTAATGTGTAGTTATGGGCTGYACTTTCCATATCTGTAATAATAAAGTGTTCATTCATGTTTTTAGATGCATCTAAATTTTTATCAGGTTACATTTATTTTCCTTAACTTTCCTATTTCTTTAATACTCTGTGCAATAACAGGGGTCAGAGTCTATTTATACTTYTTTTGTTCCTCTTAGAAAGATGAGACTACTGGCATGGAAGCAGTCACTCTGAATGGGACGCTTGCAAACGTAATGGGCAACTAAAATTCGTTTTCAAATGAGATGGCATTTTCTTTCCATTTCAACAGACACATTTATGAGTGGTCTCACTGCTGGCAATTTGACACGCCTGATATTCTGCACATGCAAAAGCTTCAGAGTAGAAGGTATGAATTACAGGAAGGGAAATAAACCAAGTGTTGCACACTCAGGATGTTTGTGGTGGTGCAGTGGAGGCTGTCAAGTTAAAATAAAAAGGCCAAGCACATACAAATTCATGAGACATAAAAGGACTCTTGAGGTAGAAGTGGGGCATTGTCCCTCCCTGCTCTCCATGTATCTACATACTGCTTGATAAGCATGTCTTTTATCTTCAAGCACACAGGAACTGAGCTGAGAAAATCTTTCCCAATGTGGGAAATATGTTATCTTTTTCTTTGATGAGCAGTTTAGGAATGTTTGAGCTCATGTTGCAGCAATTGCAAATGTAACATCCATCTTATTTTCTTTCAAACCTTTTTTCTGAGATTTTCAGTTCAGTCATGCAATTACTGATTATGCATTTTTAGTGGAACTTCATTAAAATTTTGACCCTGCGTGGCTTCAGCAGCATTTGGAATCGCCTTTCAATTTTGCAGCATTTTGCAGATTTGATTGCTGTAGCCAATTTATTCTAATCCTTTAAAGACTGTCCTTTTTTCCATGTCCCTGTGGAAAAATGAATAATTTAATTTTACAGTCATTTCTTCTGTCCTTTTAGTTTTCATGTGATAGTTTCTGACAAATCTTTCAAAACTATTTCAGGCTCAATGACTGATGGGTGCATATTGGCATTGTGAGATCAGAATCAATAGAGCCGTGGCACTGCATGGAATGTGAGATTCTAGGGGGTTATGCTATCCATTTCAATGCAAGGAATACTGAAAGTAGTTGAAATAATAGTAGCTGAAATTAGTCAGGTAGAAGCTTGCATGTGTGATAACCCAGATGCAAAATTAAATACTCAGAAAATACCTRAGCCACTGATAGATCTGGGGAGGGTGTTAGAGGAATTAATTTATTCCTTACCCTGTTTTCCAAAGTATCCAGTGTTACACAGGATTAGATGTTGTGTTTGTCCGGACTCAGTCTGAAATCTGGTACAATGGTTTTTATAATATAGTTCAAGAAAACAGCCCCCAGATTTTCTGTGAGGCTACAGGTCCTTGCTTTGGTCATTGGAGTATCTAACAGTAAAATGTTTGTGTGTATTCAACTTTATTTACATCAGAATCTCAATGAGTAAGAGCTAAAACAAGAAACCAGGGATGTGAAACGTATTTGTAGACTTATATCCATGTGTAGGATTTTGAAAAATTATGAACAAGTATTTCTAAACGTTCTAAATCCAAAAGTGTAAGGCCYGTATTGTGACAGATTATAGTGGGTTTCCTGTGGTGAGTGTAACTGCTGTGGCTGATGGAAAGAAAATTGGTGGCATGAAAATTACTGTAGCTGCCCAATCTTCTTTCTAAATGGGCTTTAACTGCGCATTCTTGTTTATTACTCTCCTGCTGGKACAAATACCTGCAACCCTCGGTGTTACTAATGCATCTGTACCCTAAGGACCTCATTTCTCAGCTGTGCTCAAGTTCACTAATTCTTTAGATTTGAAATTATTAGAAAATATTGCCTAATGGAGATACAGAATCCAGCCTTTAGTTTGTCCTTGGCCCAGTATGTTTATTAGTTACCTGGATGACGGAATGGAAAGCATTCCTGTAACATTTGTATGCACTGCTAATATGRTAGAGTACAAGCTTAGAATTCAAAACTATCTTGAAAGTTAGAAATATAGCCCAGGAGAAGATGAGGGTGCATAGGGACTGATGCATGATAAAACATTTAGACAAGAGCAATTCCGTGCAGAAAGGCACGGCAGAGGACAGCTTTCTAAATAGCAGATAGAGCAGAAAATAATCTGGGATGTCACAAGCTGAGCATGAGTCAACAGTGGCCTGGTCCTGTGAAAAGGGAAGCACCCGAGGGCAGGAACAGAGGGTGGGCTCTCGGATACACAGCCCCCTCCTGCTCATCAGCAGTGCTGGGGATCAGCAGAAGCACTCTTGGGGTGCTGCCTGAGAAGGTACAAGGCAGCTGGGAAGGACCTAGATGAAGTCAGCAGAAATAATGAGAAGATGAATGAAGAAAGTTAAAGAATTTGAATTATTTTTTCAGTTTAAAGAAAAGGTAAATAAAGGGTAATAATCTGCTTTCTTTGAAACTGAAAGAATAAAAGGCAATAGACTTGATTTTAAGCAGRGCAGATTTTTCCATTTTAAGGAAAAAAATAAGTGGTAGGGAGAGGGAAGTATATTGGGATAAATTGCTGTGGAAGCAGTAAAGCTCTGGCATGGGGGGGTCTGTGTCTGGATGTGTGTCAACCCAGAAAGGCAGGTCTGATCAGAGGGACCCCACGACCTCTTGAGCTCTGTCCCAGCTCTGYGTTTCTGTGATTCTGGCATCTCTCTTGTACATTTTGGGACTATTGGCCAGAACAAGTATTATTCACGGCAAGGGTTGCAGAACTGCCTTCTAAAATTAGACAGAGTGTTCTAAGCAGTGACAAAAGATAAATGAGTTCAAGGGAAGACATGGTGGTCATGTGGTTGCTTGGTTGGCTGGCAGAAAGGGTTTGATGCTTCAGTGCATGACAGCAGCTCTGTATCTGAGATCATCCTTTCTGTGTAACAGTTTAGTAAGGGCAGGAGACCAATTCATACAGAAAGGAATTGAGTGAGAAAGAACATGCMCATGTAGCATATGGAAACAGATCTACTCCTTTCCTATCTTCTATCCTGTGCCTGCCCATGAGTTCTCACCTCATAGAATTACACCTATGTGTTGTCTTAGAAAACATATTTCCATGCAAATTTTAATTCTTGCAGGAGTAAAAATAGGGATAAGGCAGTCCTCTTGTCTTCTCAGTGTTTATGTATCTACTTACTTATTCTGTGGCTTTCCATCAAGCCTAAGCTCTCTCTGAGGTTGGCAGTTGGTCTATTTATGTGTTTGGGTGTGTCTGAGAGGTTGAGTACA